TCATAATTTATAATGTACTGGAATTTCAACACCTACAAACAAATAATGACACTACCTGGTGGTGTGGTGGTAGTAGTAGTAAAACAGGTATCACTCTTAGGTACTACCTGGTAGAGAACATCCCAAAGTTTCAGCACACACACAGTTATTATTGAAATTATAGTGTACAATAAAATCAAGGGGGAAAATTTTGAACTGTATCATATTTTATTTTTATTTGATTTTATTGTACTTTTTTTCCCTAATGTTTAAGATTTAAAAAATGTATCACTCATTTTATTTAATTCGAAAAGTTACTCTAACTATCCAACATAAAAAAAAACAAGTCCAGAAAAATGACATTCTAAGTAATTACTTTGGTACCAGAGGTAGATGTTAGGTACCATCTCTTATCTGTATTAATAATTATTACTTAGTTTCTAAATATTAATTATAGCAATTGTTTGGCTTAATACAAATACATAGGTATTAAGCCAATAGGGCTTCGGATGTTGATATATATGCTGTTCTTATTTGTATAAATGGAGAAATCTGACAAGGGGAGCTAATATACCAAAAAATGTTTAATTCATAATTAATCTGTGGACTCCTTGAAAATTTGATTTTAGCATCAGTTCTATTCAGAAAAATTCAAATGTTTAATTAATATAATAATAATATTTTAAAATATTCAAGTAGATAAAAACAAAGGAAACAAGTACCAATATTTTTGGAAATATCTGTTCAATAGTCCTCATTATATTGCTCATTCAGATAAGTTGTGTTTTTACTTTCCTGATTCTGCCATAATTTTCCTGTTATATATAACAATCGGTCAACAGATATCTGATTTTTACATTTTTAAACTTGGGACCTTGAAATGTCAAGAACTGCAAAAAATTTCAGGAGTGTTTCTGTTTGTATTGATGTTAGGGTGTGTGTGGGGGGCACAATTTTGTTTACTCTCTTTGAAACTTAATAATCTTATGCTTTTTGTTGAAAATTTCTGAAATTTTGCAAGGTGTTTTGTATATTAGGGATTTGATGCTATTAAATTTTGGTGGTTAAAGGTTGACAGGGTGGGGATATAAGAGGGGGATCAAGTGTCATATTGCAAGTAGGGTCAAACTTAATTAATGACGATTTTCCTCATTAGCATTTACATTATTTTATAAAACCCATCCTATCCTGTAAATTAAGCTTTTTGTCCTTTTATAATAATTAAAAATATAAAAAGTTTTTAAGAATAAAATATTGTAAAAGATGGCACCACACACACAGTCTTAAATGTTGATGGGAAAGTTAAGCAACTCATTGTTGAATTTTTCTTTTTTGTTTTTCAAATATAAAAGTGTTTTAACTAATAATTTTTAAAAAGTCAGTTGACATTGGTTTTTACCGGCACAGAAATATTACCTTATTCTAATCATTAGCATTGAAACTACCATTGTATGAAATACAATCCACAAAAAAGAAAGATGGCATGGCTATCAAAAATAGGCAAAACAGGTGGATAGACACATTGATTATATTGTGCCATCTGATATTTATTGCTTGTATCTCAACATGCACAATATAATGGGAAGATACTGTATTACATAATTAACATGAATACATTGTATAAATAATTGCTAGCTGCATTCAAGTAGTAATATTTTGTTGCATGCAGAGTTTCCAATTTGTGAGAAATCTAGTTGTTAAAAGTACATATATAGGAATTGTATCAGAGCAAACAAGTAGAAAATCTAGTTAGGAATACTGGCTACAAAAAGCACTATCTAGTATATGCATAGTTCATGTCATTTCTGCAATACTATTTGACTTTGAATGGTAACATTTAAAAATTAATTACAAAGTAAATTCAGTAGTATATATCATAACATGTTAGATAAGTCAAGACAATTGTTCTTATAATATTTTACATGATTTAACTTATCATTTAGTTCCATTTTTATTGATTAACAAAATTAAAATATGAAAATAAACTATGTTAAGAGAGACAAAACCTGTCAGACTTTGTTTCTAGCAGTCCCAATTCATCATGATTATCCCACTGTGGCCGTTTTACTTATTTAATTTTTACCTACACCTAATTATACTTTTTCACTTGAAGCTCCATTTGATTTGATACAGATGACCAAAATCTTTAATTCCAATTCTATAATAATTGCAAAAAAAATTTAGATGTATTAATTAACTTGTTCAGCCAAAATTTTAAAATTAACTTCTAAAAATCTTAGTTTGTCTCTATAAGATATTTTATGCCTCATCTATTTACAATTTAGAGGTTCACTCACCATATAGGTTACACACACAACTAATTATTTATAGATATGACATTTGACAAATTCTTTAGAACATAGAAAAAAATTTTAATTTTAAATCTTTGATGTAATATGTTTTTCCTATTTCAATGATTGTTGTTAGTTCCTAAAAAAAACTGATTAAATTCATGTAAGCATGAGTTTCAAGATGTGAAAATATTATCTTGCTCATTTATCAACTTAAAATGGCAGGAAATGATTTATGTTACCACTAAAAATTCTTTATCTTAAAGAATTTTTTTATCACATTCTATAATATAAATAAAATTTTACTGGATCTTAATTCATTTAATGAGTATCTTTCTGTTAATCAAATTTTACTTTATCTTCTATTTATCACGCTAATTTTAATAGTTTAATTTCAATAGTTCTCAAGGTCAGATTTTTATCATAAGAATTTGTTGAATTAATTACTAAATTTATATTGTATTATAAATCTGGGTTTCATAAAAAAACAATTACAGAAATCTTATATCAAAATGTCAAACATGACAGGTGTCAGATTAAAGTATATACAATTAAAATTTAAAAAGCTTAAAATGTTTGTTTAACATAAAATTAACAAATCTTATTAATACAAAATTATGAAAGCTAAAGTTATTTTATAATCTGGTAATCAGAAAAAAAAACTAAACCAATTAGAAATGTGAAAAGTGTCCATTAATTCAATGCAAACTGAAACTAATATGTTAGATGTGAAAAATAGTGAAAACAGAAAAACAGCAACTATCAAATGAAAAATTCAAATTCCCAATATTTTCAAAATTATATTTTTCTGCATTTAAATTGTTTTATAAAAGTGTAAACAAATATGAAGCTATTTAAATCACACTTTTGTAAATCATGTGATTTTATAACATTTTGACATTTGGATTTTTAAAAAAATTTTTTATTAGATTTCTTTTAAAGTCAGCGTAACAAGTTATATCAGTTTAGTGTCGATGTAACAATAAGTAATCCAAATGCATCAGCATTTGGCAAACTGAACAGATTCAAATGGCGCAGTAATGTACTATTTCTCAAGATTGGAAATCCAATCTTTTACCTGATAGAATTAACATAATTTGAATTATAGTTATATGGAAATCTGTTATTCTTACAGAAAAAAACAAACTAACTGTATATGATTGTGTGTTTGTTTGGTAGAAATAAATTATTGTAAACTCCTTAATTATGAATTTAATATGTAAAACATTAATTATTATTTTAAATTTCATTTGTTTATGTGTGATTTAAATAATTATTTGTAATTATTTTTAAATTATTTTGTATAAGATATTTGTATAACATAAATCATAGCTTTGTTTTATTTACAGTAAAATAATTATCTATTAAACTGTATTACACTAATCACATTTTATTTTCTTCTATTTTTCTCAATCATGACTAAATAATTTTGAATTCAAAGAAATCTTGACTTTAAATTAGTAAAACTGATAAAATATAACCTTTTTAAAAATCTATTTAGAATCAGGGTTGTTAAGTTGACTCCTTAGTACAGTAGAACCTCGAAAACTCGGCCTAATGTGGACCGAAGGGTGGTCAAGTTTGTGAAAATGCTGAGTTATCAGAAATGGGGTTAAAAAAATAAGGATGAGTGTTTCCTCAGAAAATACTGTACTGTACTTATATATATTGCTTACTTGAGAATACAACAGAGAATAAACTGCCCAAATATCCTTAAACAAAGGAAAAGTACGTCTTTTATGAAGGCATAGAGCCTTTACTACATGAAAATGAAAATTAATGAATACACTGTGTATAGTAATTTACCTGATAAGACAGACCCCAGAAAAATACTTTATGAGACATAAAGCTGTCTATAATTAAAATTAATTAACTAAGGATTTTTTTGCCCTGCCAGGGTGTGGCCAAGTTATCCGGACTGCCGGGTTATCGAGACTACTGTACTTCTAATGTTATTTTCATTATCCTGATGATTCATTACTTAAATGGGAGATATTTGAAGTATTTAATTTTAAATTATATTAATTTAATTCTATTAATAAAAATACAGTTTAAGTTCTATTTTTTATTCTGTAAAGGCAGTGCAAAAATCATATCAAAAGCAGTTACTCTGCACTAATATAGTTAAGATACATGTTAAAACTGTTATTTTGGCTTTATTTTTTTTGAAAAGTTATTAACAAGTTATGAATTATAAATAATTAAATATATACTTCAAACATCATACATAGTTCAGGAATGTAGCAAATGTGAAGGCATTTCCCAACCCTCACTCTCTGCCAGTCCCCGCTGCTGCCCTTATACAAGTTTAAAAGTAAACATGAAAAAAATCACAAAGCAGTTGACTACTGGATGAAACAGAAAACAGGCACATCAGACTCAAATACTAGGCAACCTGAACAGCCATGAGGTAAAGAAGAATGTTTATTATTTTATTGAGCATTGTCGTATATATTACTGATTTGCATATTATATGCAAGAAACTGCCTTACCAATATGACAGCTCCTTACACAATAATATGTTAGTAATCTTAGAGCTTTCTTTTTAACATAACCTACCTACCTATACTATGTCTATGCAAGCTAAAAGAGATGTAAGTGACCCACACTCAAATTTCTAGTTATATCCTTGATAGATATTTGTTTTGAAACATATAATTATGATAACTCAAAATAAAATCACATGCAAATCTCAGTTTATTTCTAAAAACTTGAATTTTCTTACAATACCTTTCTTATCTGCATAATTCATAAATCGTGCAGAATTGAGATCTTCTAATAGTGTGTCAAGTTCTGACAAATTACTGCTCAGATTGGGATTGCAAGGCTGGTGAGTTCTCGAATTTGGCGCAGTTGTGTTGTTTGCAATTGTGGTAGTAGTTGTAACTTCCTTGATTACTTGCTGATTTTGATATATTGGCTATAAAAAAAAGAAAAATTTTTCTTATTAACTGAATTCATTAATATTTGTTTTCAATCTATCTTTACACAAAGATTATAAAGTGGCTTGTTAAAAGTATAGACTATTACATTTATATTTATTACAGATGAAATTTTTATAATAAATAACAATGCTGAAATAAAATTACTTCCTGCACTCATAATTTATAATTTGTAAATGCAAAACATAACATTACACATAGCATAAAACATGTGCTATGTAAGTTCACATTAATTTAACTACAGTAAGACCCTGCTTAACACTGATTCAATATAATGCAGTCTGCTTGAAGCCTAAAAAACACTCAAAATTTACATGGCATTTCATTAATTTGTACATAATACAATTATTCCCAAACACAAACCAATCAGCAAAACGTGGCAATTCATCTTAGCGCTGTACTTCCTTTACATCTATTGTTTATTTGGTGCAATTTTGGAAAAAATATATCATCATGGATGTTGTAGGAAATATCGACTTTGCTTAGCAAGAATTAACTGATAAATGCATGAATGGAGTGTGGAAGAATTTATGGCTGAAGGTATCCAAGAATTCTCAACAAGAAGAGCCTATTCCTGTATGGTTTAAGGTTGACAAAATTGACAACTTAATTGAAACGGGAAATGTAGACAAGCAGGTTTCTGGTGAGAGCCTTACCAACAACAACCTTCAAGAACTGTCAGAACAAGGAATTCATGTAGAACTGGAAAATAGAGATTTTGAAAACAAAGAACCCAAAGAACTTGCTACAGATTTCTTTAGTAAAAGTTTGGTAACAATAACCAAAATTGTTGATCAAATTGTAGCAAATGATCCAGATTTTGAAAGGAGTGCAAAAGCAAAACAATGCATTTTGGATGCAATCTTCTGCTACCAATATTTGCTTAAGGAAAGAAAAAAAAGCAACAAATGAAACTATATGGTTTTATCACAAAAAACAAGAATTTCAGAAAAGCCAGGACTTTTTATCACTTTACATTTTTGTGCACATATCTTTGTTATTTAACACACATTTTTATATCAATTTGCATAATAATAACTTAAAATTATAGTAAAATTTGCATATTTTTGGTTGCATGTTTCCCTTTCCCTATTTACTCTATGTTAAAATGACCTTGTTTAATACTGTTTCTCTTAATGCTTTGACGTCTAGGAATGCATCCGCTGCATTAAGCAGGGTCTTACTGTAATTGTAAACTAGAACAGCAGATAATCACATATTCCTGAAAATTGATTTTAATGATTAGATTTATGTCTAAATTAGTTTAAAGAGTTCTAGCCTGTTTCAGCAACAATTCTTTATTCACAGGCTATAGCTATTTAGATTTATACTTTACTCCAGTTTCAGAAGCTTATTAATTTGGTCATACCTTCATATATTTTTATGATTTGTTTTTAAGGTTTAAGGATAAAATATGCTATTGACTGAATTTAGTAAGATTTTGTATCAAAGTGGATTTTCTTGCTTTATTGCTTTAATATCTTGTCTATTTTTGTCTTCATATAATAATTTCATTGCTTTGTTCTGATAAAATTAAAGCCTAAATATTTCACTATATGTTACAATGTCAATTTACTAATTCTACCAAAACATAAATCCTTGTCATAGTATAAAAAAACACTGCTGTATTATAATTTGACTGGTCTAACAATTGACACCAAGTTTTATTAGTCCAGTTAATAAATTCGGAGAACTTAGTTTCAGAACTATACTGTATAAGATATTTGTATAACATAAATCATAGCTTTGTTTTATTTACAGTAAAATAATTATCTATTAAAATGTATTACACTAATCACATTTTATTTTCTTCTATTTTTCTCAATCATGACTAAATAATTTTGAATTCAAAGAAATCTTGACTTTAAATTAGTAAAACTGATAAAATATAACCTTTTTAAAAATTATTTAGAATCAGGGTTGTTAAGTTGACTCCTTAGTACAGTAGAACCTCGAAAACTCGGCCTAATGTGGACCGAAGGGTGGTCAAGTTTGTGAAAATGCTGAGTTATCAGAAATGGGGTTAAAAAAATAAGGATGAGTGTTTCCTCAGAAAATACTGTACTGTACTTATATATATTGCTTACTTGAGAATACAACAGAGAATAAACTGCCCAAATATCCTTAAACAAAGGAAAAGTACGTCTTTTATGAAGGCATAGAGCCTTTACTACATGAAAATGAAAATTAATGAATACATTGTGTACGGTAATTTATCTGATAAGACAGACCTCAGAAAAATACTTTATGAGGCATAAAGCTGTCTTTATCATGAAAATTAATTAACTAAGGATTTTTTTGCCCTGCCAGGGTGTGGCTGAGTTATCCAGAGAGTGCTAGGTTATCAAGTGTCGAGTTTTTGAGGCTCTACTGTATTTATTTATATATATTATCCACCATTTCATCATTGACACACAATTCATTAGGCTAATTAGCAATGCAGTGGTGGTCTAAAATTAATTAGAGAATAATAGCTATGGGATTTTACTTTATTCAAAAGAAAGAAAAATTACACAAATTTATAATACTCCACATAAAGAAATAACCATGCCAAGTTTCAAAAGTTTAGGTCAATAAAGTCCTGAGATATAATAATATAAACAGACAGCCACACACACAGAGAGAGAGAGGATTTTTGTAGAGAATCCAGCCGGCATTCACAGATTTCTCTTGCCAGTTTTGTACGGAATTGAAACAGTCAAATATCTTAGCAAAAATCAAACTTTAATCGCGCTTGATCATGTACGGTAGAAACTCAGTCCTATGCAGTTAACGAGATTCTTTTTATCCTTCCTTGCCCACTTTTGAGCTCCATCGCTTTTCCTCTCTTCACTAACTCTACTCCTACCTTTACTCTGCCTCTCCTTCAACTCTCGTCCCTCTCTCCATTTTCGCCGCTTTTTCTCCACCATTTTTTTAATGACTCTTTGTCTACTCTTGTTTATTATTTTCACAACTGTTTGTAAAGAGGTTGGATATGGACTGACAAGACTGCAGTCAGGGGGAAGGAGTAGGTTCAATAGTATTACAATTTTCTAAAGAGAAAAAGGAATTTTTTTTTACAGTTTTGGGCTCATGGAGTATCAAAATGTCAAAAAATGCAAAATCTGGAGGGGAAATAAAAATTTTACCAATTATTACGTTTTCGTACATTATATTCTATAACAACTGGGAAAGTAAAAATAATTATGAAATATAGAGTCGGTTAAGCTGACTCTCCAACTCCATTTAAATCAGCTGTATTATTATATGGAGTAAATTTAAAAGCAATTTGCATTTCTAGTAATTTTTTCAATAGTAAAAAAAATTATTTTAGAATTTATGTTATATAATTTCATCCAGTTGTTTACGTTAATTCTATTAACTTGAGAAAACTAAATCTTTAATTTCTAGCATTTACTTTTGCAATGTGAGATTTAAAAATTAATTAATATACTGGAATGAAGTACATGCAACATTCATACACTAAAAAATTATTCAAAACATCTAGAATTTGACTCTTCAAATAGTTAGAGCCTAATGATGACTAATTAAATTAGCTGAAAATGTTTGTGTGGAAATTAAATATCAGAAACTAAAAGTTTAGTTACTTAGTTCAGATGGTAGAAAAGATAATTTTATTTACTTTTCACATAAATTCCTCTGTTTGGGTGTTTTTCCACAAACATTATTCTGATATAAGTGATTCTTCTTTAAATCCGAATCAACTTTTTTGTAAAATAATTAAACAATGCATTTTTAAAAGATTGACTACATTTATAATGAAAGAAAAATCAAGAGTGTAGATTGGAAAAACTGTTGACATAAGTTTGAATTAAGTTTTTGGATACTTTGACTGCAAACAATCATATATAGAATGAAAAAATACTTTAAACTTGTAATTACTGACCAATTTAAGAAATTAAACAATTCTGACAATATTCTTTACATAAAGTAAGCTGTAATAAATGAATAATGACAAAATATAATAGAGTGCATTTAGTTCATTTTGATGGAACAAATTATAGTAACAAGTATTATGAGTCACACAGCTTTAACAGCAAGGGTCAAGTTAATGTGATGCAAGTAGTTGTTGTATTGTACAGTATTTGTATGATTATTACAGATCGTGGAGAAATGCTATTGAATAGTATATTAGACAGGAAACGGACGATGAGTCTTCATTATCACTGCGTTATTTATAAATGTGAATTTTTTTCATTAATTAGTAAAACAATCTGCTAATTACATTATTTGAATGTAATCTTGGCAGTATAGCAAATATTAAGAAACTCCCTTCTGAATATTGGAGATTTGCAACATTTATTCTTTCTCAATTTGATTATAATCTTTAATATAAAATAAACCCTTGATCTGTAATAGTTATAAATTCAACTTTCATATCATGACATTTGACAGCAGTAAAGTTTGTCATTATTTCTATGGTACTAACAAGAAAAATAACTTATAAAACATATGTTTTGAACAGCAAAAATTTGTATCTGATACGATATAAACTATTTGGAATGTTTTGAAACAAAACAAAAAAAAAGCATGTTTACTTTCCTAATTAATAAATGGAATAAATAGTTGATATATTTCCAATTATCAATAATACAGATATAATTTATATAAAAAAAGCAACTTTTAAAACTGATAACTTGTATTAGTATATGGGTATTTTAGAGTTGCAGTTGTTTTTTCTAGATTTTTTGTACTCAAAGTGTGAATTAATTTTGTTCAAATAATTACATACATTTATCTACAAATTATGTCAGAATAAATCAACAAATAACAAAATATTTATATTATTTTCAAATTTCTATTATTTAGAATTTTAAAAATACTGTACTTATCATTTATTAATGCTTGATAGCATATTTAGATATATAATCATTAATTTGATTATCTATTTCTTACAGAATATAATTTTTATTTATACACATTAATTAAATATAAAGTAAAAAGAACACTTACACTTGTTATATGATAATAATAA